AAGTTTTCCTAACAGCCTTTGTCAGATGAGTTCTTGTTCATTTGTTTCTGATTCTTGCTTCCTTAGAACATCCATTTAATAAGTTTTTTGTTTTTGTGTCTGATCAGTACCAACCATGAACAATAAATATCTTCCCATATGTATTTCTTCATTTCTATGAAAGTATTTTCTGTATTCAAGTCCTGAAGGTATCTTGATAAGTTAACTATCAGATATTTTATGTGTTTCATAGTCGTCAACATGGAAAAACTCAGACCAACTAGGTGATCAATAAATAAAGTGAGGTGTTTATTCAGGGTTGGGGAATTGCAATTCAGGACAATATGCTCTTATTCAGACAGAGATGCCTAGGGAGGAAGGAAAGAAGGTGATTCTTATAGGGCACAGTCCTGAAAGACAGAAGGAGGGCATATAGTTGGGATACATAGAACCGGAAAGAAGTGTTAACGATATTGAGGGATTACAGAAGCAAGGTCACAGAAATGTCCTTGGGACTATCTCTCTTCAAGAGCGTTGGAAACTGTTGAAGTATGAGTAGTGGGGGAGTCTTCTTGGAGGTAGTTAGAAACTGCTGATCAGAGCAAGGTTCGGGCCTAGAATTTCCCAGTGGTTGACATAGTTAATATGAGTGCAACTTTGTTTTCTGCCTCTTCCTGCTAGGTTTTATTAGTAATATATCTAAAGGCTGATTTTTATGAGTTTATTTTATATCCTGCTACTTTACTAAAGTTAATAAAATTTAAATTTATTTTTTAATTGAACCGGTAATATTCCTTAATTAAAGCAATCTGCAAATAGAGATATCTTTACTTCCTCTTTACCTATGTTTATTCTGTCTGGATTTTTTTCCTTTTTTTTTTTTTACCATAGCTAGCATTTCTAGAACTCAAACGATAGTGGTAACAATACAGAGCCTTAGTTTACTCCTGTTCTTACTGGAAAGGCTTCTAGTATTTCTACCTTAGAAATAAAACTAGCTAAAAACAGAAATAACATTTTGTTCTTAGTTTTAGATAATGTTATTATGTAAAGTTTATTTTTGTATGCTTTTAAGTATTTTTTAACATAAGTAAATGTTATATTTTCTCAAAAGCCTTTTCTACATCTGTTAATATAATCATGTGGTTTTTATTTTTCTTATTAATATGGTTTGTTATGTTTGTAGTTTTATAAATCTAACTGATCAGAATGAATAATCTGTTTAAATACATTGCTTTGGCCTCTTTGGTAATATTTTTTGGTAATTTGGTAATATTCATTTTTTTATGTCATTATTCATTAAAGACATTGGCCAAGCTTATCTATCTTATCTCTCCCTGCCCTGGGTTTCAGCATCATATTTTGTCTTATAGAAGGAGTTTTTAAAGTGCCTTCTACCTCTGTTTTTTCCAAAAAAAAATTATGCATCATTGGAGTTAATTGGTCTTTGAATGTTAGATAGAAACCACTTGTAAACCTATATGGATCTGGTTTTATTTTTTAGGAGTTCATTTATGGCTTGTTCATTTTCTGTTTATAAGATTATTTAAAAGTTTTTATTTCTTCTGCTAGCCTGAGTATATTTTATTTTTGTAACTATTCATCTATGTGATTTAGTTTATTTTGTTGGCATATAATTGGATATAATAGTTTCTGGTGATTTTTTAAAATTTCCTTTTATTTTGATTTTGAGGATCTTTTAAAAGGCTTTCATCTTAAACAAAAAAAAAACCCTTAAATTACTTAAAATGGTTTGAATATTTGATTAGTCCTTTCCACAAAATCAATTCCTACTTTTATCATCTTAACAGTTTCTTTGTTTCCATTTTTCTTTTCTCTTATTTGGTTTTTACAAAATTTTTTTTTCTTGCTTTATTTAGCAGTTCAGTACTCATGTTTTAAATTTTATTTCCTTTAGTTTTCAGAATATCTGTTTTTGTTCTTATTCAGGGATTTTATATTTCCTGGTTTCATTTCTATCAAAAGATTGACCTCTCGGAGGACCTGAGTTCAAATCCAGCCTCAGACATTTGATACTTACTAGCTGTTTGACCCTGGGCAAGTCACTTAATCCTCGCCTCACCAGAAAAAAAAAAAGATTGAGTTCTTTTTTAGAAATGTAAAATCTCCTTTTAGAATGTAAAATTTCTTTTAAGAATTGCTTTAGTTAAAATTTAATATTAAATGAATGTAAACATTGTTTATTAACTAATTATTGTTTTATTATTTATTTTTGACCCACTCATTCTTATGGTTACATTATTTAGTATCCATTTGTTTTAACTTTTTCTTCTGATTTCATTTATTGATTATAATTTTTATTGCTGTGTGATTTGTAAAGGACATGTTTAATGTCTTATGAGTTCTAAGCATATAGTAAGTTGTACTGACATATTCTGCAATATTAATTATTTACATGCTGTGGGATTCCATGATTTGTAGCCATGTACCATTACCATAATAATACTGGTATTTAAAAATGGGCTTTTCAAATTTTATGTTTAATAATAATACATCGTATTTTATGGTTTCTTCTGATTCTATGTTGATTTTGATCTTTTCTCTAAACAAGTCAGTGTTCTGACTATACATAAATAACTGATTTAGAAAAGACTCCAGTATCAATAACTAGTCATTTCCTATCTATAGATAGAAGACAACACACAAAGGGGAGGTAGAAGGAATGGGAGGATATGTTCAGCATCTTAGTTTGGACACAGTATCCAGGAAGTGACTTAGAGTCTTGTTTCCAGGCTATATAGGGCAAAAGCTCACCTTTTAGAGCCCAGGGTGGTTCCAGGTGTGTCATGGCCAAAATGCAGTCTGCGTGGTTTGGAAAAATGGTGGCTAAGAAGTTACATTATTAACTATATGCTGATGCAATTTAGATTCGTTTACTAAGTTCTTTGTAGAATTTTGTCTACTTCATTACCCATCTAGTGTTGACACATAGGCTCTAGGTAGCAGTGGATTTTTTGCAAATGCCTATTATAAATGCCACAGTATGAGATTACTAAGTTTCTCATGAAGTAAAGTTTCTTGTTTACTTTGAATGCATAGTTAATTAACAAACATTTATTACATTTCTACTCCATGGCAGGCGCTGTGCTAAGTACTGGCATACAAAGATGAAATTAAAATTGTCTCTTCCCTCAAGGAAATTACAGTCTGACAAGGGAGAAAAAATGTACATATATAGGTGTATTAAATACACACACACACACACACACACACACACACACACACACAGCAGAGGCAAGGTAACCTTGGAGAAGAAAGCATTTGAAGGTAAGAGTGGGGCACCAAAAAATGCCTCCTAGAGTAGATGGCTCTTGAGCAAGAAGCACAGGAGTCCAAGAGGCAGAAGTGAGAAGAGAGAGCATTCTAGGGAACAGCTTAGCAAAAAGCATGGAGGCAGATGATGAAAATGAAATGGTCCCTGCTTACATTCTATCTAGGAGGTAACATTTATCTATATAGGTATAGACAAAGTAAATAAAAGATGATTTGAGTGGGAAGGGCACTAGTAGCACTAGTGGAGGGGAGAGAGATCAAGAATGGCCTCGTGTAGAAGGTAACACTTGACACCTGGTCCTTGAAGAAAACTAGGTATTCCAAGAGGAAGTGATAAGGAAGGAGAGAATACAGGTATGAGGGAACAATATGGTAAAGAGGCAGGGCATGGATTGCATTTGGTAGAATGCCAGAAATGGCAGAATGGTAGAAAGGCCAGTGTATGGACCACAGAGCAAATGAAGGGGCAATATTGTGTGCAATAAGGCTTTTTTTTTTTAAGGTAAATTGGAGATACTTTACAGAGCACTTTAAATGCCAGATAAGGGAATTTATATGTGATTCTACATGTATTAGGAAGCACCTGGAATTTATTGAGCAGGAATTGTATATTCATGCACTTTAGGAAAATCATTCTGTTTGGAAGATGAATGTGAGGTCAGAATAATTTGTTGAAAAATCATAAGGATCTTCATTAAAGCAGTGGCTATATGAGTGGGTAGGAGACTTTCAAGAGATAGAGATTAAAAAAATGACAATATTTAACAATTTATTGGATATGTGGGCTTAGGGAGAGTGAGGATAATGCCAAGATTATGAACCTGCCACACTGGAAGGATGGTAATGTCTTCAACAAAATAGGAAAGTTTGAAAGAAGGAGGGCTAGAGGGAAAGATAATGAGTTGTGTCAAGATGTCTCTGAGATGACCATTTTGAAAGGTCTGATAGGCACTTGTTGATCTGAGATTGAAGCTTAGGGGGAGAGACTGTTGCTACATATGTTGATCTATGAGTCATCTGCAAAGAGATTATAGTTAAGCCCATGAGAAGCTAATGAGGTTACCAAAAAAAGGTAGAATAGAGGGAAAAGTGAAGAATGCCCAGGACATAATCTTAGTGAAAACTCAGGGGACATGGTGTCTATGATGAACAAAGGAGAGTAAGAAGGAGTAGTCAAATAATTAGTACCTAAACTAAAAGAGAATAGTGTCACAAAAACCCAGATAGGAGAGAGTATCCAAAAGGAGAAAGAGAAGTCAATAATGTGAAATGTAGCAAGCAGATAGTTCAAGAAGGTTGAGGACTAAGAACTATACTATCAGTCAGAGTTGAAAGTCAGATTGCAAAGGGTTGATGAGTGAGAGGAAAGGAAATGGAGGCATCAAGAGTAGATAAGAAAGAGGGAGAAGAGATAAAGAATGATAACTTGGGGTATGCTCTAGTGAAGGGTCCTTTTTTAAGAATAGGGAAGATTTAAATATGTTTAAAGGCAGTAGGAAATGAATCCATTGATAGTAGTTAAACATTCAAAGGAGAGCAGAGGATATATGAGGACGATGCAGTCTTCTGAAGATGGGAAGGGAGACAATATCAAGTACTTGTGAAAATGACAATATTTTTAAATATGTACATGAAAACTGTTAAACTGCATAAAAGAATTAGGCAATTGAAATTTTCAATTTATTTATCTCAATTATTTTCCCTTCTTTCTCCACTTAAAAATGCAGGTAATATATGCTTTGAACACTAAAAATGATGAGCATGAATCTTCAATTCAAGCCCTTAGAGATGCTCATGAAGAGGAAATTCAACAAATTCTTGGAGAAACAAGAGAAAAGATTTTGCAATATAAAAGTAAACTCACAGAGGAATCAGACCTTAAACGAAAGATCCAAGTTTTAGAAGAGTCACTAGAAGGTCACAAAAAGATGAAACATCAGGCTTTGACTGAGTTTGAAGCTTACAAACACAGAATGGAAGACAGGCACATTTGTACAGAAGCCCAGCATGTCCAACGTGTGCTAACAATGGCCAGAGAAGTCGAAGAGATCAGAAAGAAGTTTGAGGAGAAGTTGGAGAGCTTTTCACAGCTACAAGTACAGTTTGAGAAAGATAAATTGAGGGCTCTGGATAACTTGAAAGCTGAACATATACAAGAAATCCGAGAACTTCTTCAGACCCAGGAGTGTCACAGTGCCTCATTAAATAAGGGGCAGGAAAAGGCAGAAGAACTGCACAGAATTGAAGTGGAAGGTTTAAATAAAAAACTTGAAGAATTAAAGCTTGAAAGGAAAAAACTAATTGAGGATTATGAAGACAAGCTGAGTAAAGCTCAGTCCTTTTATGAACATGAACTTGATACTTTGAAACGGTCCCAGCACTTGACAGCTGACAGCCTCCATGCTAGCAAAGAAAAAGAAGCAGATCTGAGAAAGGAACTTCAGAATCAAGAATCAGTTTTACGTAAGACCATAATTAACCTTAGAACAGAGTTACAAATGGCACAGGATGAAACTGGAAGTCTTCATGAAAAATGCCATAAGCTTCAATTAGCACTTGGTAAAGCAGAAGACAATGTTATGGTAAGTACTATTATGGTCTTAATACTTAAAGATTTTGTTGAATTCAGTATGGAGTACCTGAGCAACCCATTTTAGGCACATAGAACCCCCAGAAAAATGAACAAAGGTTCAGGGTACTCACGAATCTGCATCTGTTCAGAACTGTATAGCCTACAAACCACCATTGATGTGTTTACTTTTACAAAGTCATTAAACAACTCAGTTCAAAGCAAAAATTTTTGATGAAATAAATGACAAGAAAAGTAGCAATGGAAAATTTCCTCCATAAACCTGGTGCGTACTATCCCACAAATATGTATGTTATTATTGGGAAGAAAGGATGCACAAGGATTACAAATGGGGTCATACATATAAGGAGCATGTGTGGCTAGGGAATACATGTGGAAGGGCACAAATATAGGATACATATAAAGGTGACACGTTTATCTTGTGATCTGGACATACACACAAATGGTCAATTCCATTCTGATGTTGCAAGGTTACTGGTATATTTGGGTGATGTTATCACATCACTGTCTCTGGGCCTTGGGTGTTGTCTGTACTGCTCCCTGCTAGTTGTCTCTTATCTGCTAGTAACCCTAACTCTCTACTGGCCTTTTCAGCTTTGTACTGGACTCTTCACTCTTACGGCCACACCAGAGCATTACTCCCTGGTACTGGCTTCTTGGTTTCTTCCCTTCCTGACCACTTGCTTATCGTCTCAGCTGACAACTGCTAGGATGTTGTTGTTGTTTAGTCATGTCCAGCTCTGCTTGACCCCATGGAATATAGCACACCAGGCCCTTATATCCTCCACTATCTTTTGAAGTCTTTCCAAGTTCATGTTTGTTGTTTGCTTGATGCTATCTGTCCATCTCATCCTCTGCTGTCTCTTTTTCTTTTTGCTTTCAATCTTCCCCAACATCTGGGTCTCTTCCTGTGGGTCTTGTCTTCTCATTATGTGCAAAGTATTTAAGTTTCAGCTTCAGTATTTGACCTTCCAGTGGATAGCCTAAGTTAATTTCTTTAAGTATTGACTGATTTGATCTCCTTGCTGTCCAAGGGACTCTCAAAAGTCTTCTCTAGTAACACAATTTGAAAGTGTCAGTTCTGCAGCACTCAGCTTTCCTTACAATCCAACTCTCACAGCCATACATTATTACTGGAAAAACCATAGCTTTTTGACTATATGCGTCTTTGTTGACAAGATTGACGCCTGTGCTTTTTAGTATGCTGGCCAGATTTCCCATAGCTTTCTTTCCAAGGAGCAAGCATCTTTTAATTTCATGGTTGAAGTTGCCATCTACAGTGATCTTTGAGCCCAAGAATATAAAAGTTCACACTGCTTCCATTTCTTCTCCCTCTTTGCCCAGAAGTGATGGGACCAGTTGCCAAGATCTTGGTTTTTTGATGTTAAGCTTCAAGCCAGCTTTGACACTCTCCTCTTTTCACCTTCATCAAGAGGCTTCTTAATTCCTCTTTACTTGCTGCCATTAGAGTGGTATCACCTGCATATCTGAGATTGATGCTATTTCTCCTGGCAGCCATAATTCTGGCTTTTAATTTATCCAGCCTGCCATTTCATATGATGTACTTTGCATAAAAGTTAAATAAATATGGTGACAATATACAACCTTGTCGTATTCCTTTTCCATTGTCAAGATACTATTAGTAGATACCCTGTTTTTTAGAGTTAGGACCCAGCATGTAAGCTGTGCCCTGAGTTTGACGTAATCCTTTGCACTCACCCTCTGGATGAATTCAGCCCTAGAAAATCCCAGAATTATTTCACATACTTGTTGCATTGCTTTGACCAATACCTGTTATATCCATGTTCTGATTATGAAGGCCGACCATGAATCAAACTTGTCTTATTGTTACTGTTACCCCTCATTGTCAGGGCTAAAGCTCACTGCATAGCCATTGATATAAGTATTGAAATTTGCCCACACTTTGTGATGGATTGCTGTTGTGCTATAAGAAATGATGAGCAGGATACTCTCAGAAAAACCTGGAAAGACTTACATGAGCTGATGCAAAGTTAAATGTACTGTGTACAAAGTAATAGTAATATTGTAAGATGATCAGCTGTGAATGACTTAGCTATTCTTAGCAATACAGTGATCCAAGACTTATGGTGAAAAATGCTATCCTTCCACAGAGAAAGAACTGATGGTGTCTGAATACAGATTGAAGCATATTCTTTTTACTTTATTTTTTGAGGGGGTTTTTTTGGGTCTGTGTTTTCTTTCACAACATGTTGTTTTGCATGACTACACGTGTATAACCTGTGTTGAATTGCTTGCCTTCTCAGTGTGGGTAGCAGTGAGGAAGGAGGAGGGGAGAGAATTTGGGACTCAGAAGTTTTAAACATGAATGTTAAAAATTGTTTTTACATGTAACTGGGGAAAAATAAAATGCTAAATAATTTTTTTTAAAAAAAGAGACCTTTTGGGGGTGGGAGTGGGGAACGGCACATATGTCTAGTTACCCTCCTTGCTTACACGCCATTTCTCTCACTATAGAAAATAAACTTCTGTCTTAATCTCTGCATAGTTGCTCTTGCCTGCTCTCTCTGTTCAGCTCCAGCCTCTGCAGGCCAAGAGGTGAGGTTCTGTTGACACCAATTTTAAACCAGTCACTTGTTCCATGTTCGGTCCTAACTTGCTTCCTGCCCCACATACAGGTTCCTAAGGAGACATCTGGTGCTCTGATCTTTTTGAGGCCTTGCCACATTTTGTTGTGTAATTTTGTTATGTTTTGTTAGTGTAGTCAATGAAGCAGAAATAGATGGTTTTTTCCTGAATTTCCTTGCTATCTCCATAATACAGCAAATGTTGGCAATTTGGACTCTAGTTCCTCTGCCTTTTCAAAAAACCTGCTTTTCTGGTAATTCTTGGTTCACTTATTGCTGAAGCCTAGCTTGCAGAATCTTAAGCATAACCTTACTGGTGTGTGAAATGACTACGATTATTCAGTAATTTGAATGTTCCTTGGCATTGCCCTTCTTTAGAATTGGGATATAAGCTGATCTTTTCCAATCCGGTGGCTGCCGTTAAGTTTTCAAAATTTGCTGGCATATTGAATGCAGCACTTTAACAGCATCATTTTTAGAGTGTAGTGACTAGAAAACCTCTCCCTTATGAGGACAAATGGAAGAGTCTTTAGTCATAGCTAAAGCCTATGATATATACCAGTGCCCTTGGACCAAGAATAATTTTTTTCTTTTAATCCTTGCATCTGGGACTAAAATCAAAGTCTGGGTATGAAATTCCCAAAATCTTCTCTGGTTTTGAAAATAATGAATTTGACCCACACAAGAGATAAGCTGAGAGAAGTTCAAAAGGTAAGTGAAAAAAGTTTAGTCATTCTCCATCTATTTGACTTAAATTTCTACCTTTATTAAATCTTGTTGGCAGCCAAAATCCTCATTGTTTCCCTACAAATATTTTAGGTGGATTGGTTTTATTTAGACTGAAGAACAAAAGTTATGAAGAAACCTAATTATTTCTTTTTTTTCTATTTGCATTACTTTTGCATCTTCTTGTTTTGTAAGTGAAAATTAATATTATTTGCGCATGTAACCTATGCCCCATGGCCATTCAAACTCTGGGCTCACACAGACATAATTTATCTTGGGAGTATCCCCAAAAGATAATACCCTTTGACTCATTTTGTCTCCTCTTAAACTCTACTCTGGGAAACTCCCAATATAGCTTATGTCTAGGTTGTGTCTAAGCTTCCATAAATGTGGATGACTCAGTTCCCAGCTCCTATGCAGGCACTCACAAGTAAAAAAAATGCACATTGGTTACAGTTTAGCCTTTAGGTTAGTTACCCCACAGAATATGCAGAAAATACAAAGGATTCCTAGTGCCCATAAACAAATACGGAAAAACACAAATTACTCATGATAGTCCATAAATGTTCAACACAGTTTTTCACTGTCCCAGCTGCTACATTTTCTTGGACTGAGAAAATTCATTTTCAGGTCTCATCTTATAAAGCTGTGGGCAGGCGCAAGTAGCTCCCATGTGTCTCTATCCCAAAATAGTCACTATTATAAGGGGGGGAACAGTGTGGATGGTACACATGTAGAGGCTCCCACTCTCCTGCCTCCTCCCTGACCCCCAACTAGGTCATCTGATAGCTTTTCTGATTTCTGGATCTCTTGAAAAGGAAAAAAAAAACAGTTTATTGGTTCACTTTTTTTCAGTCAGCTTAAAGGGAAAATTATCGTCACGAGAGCAAGTGTTCATCCTTCTAAGAGTCTAAGACTACCACCTCATCTTGGGGACAGCCCCAGCCACAGATACCTGTCTAATAGGAAGTGCTAACCAGTTCATCTTAGGGAAATCCTAGTGTCTGATAATTAATAATTTGCCTTTTATATTTTTAACAAGGTGCCAAAGGGCATGTCCAACCCTTTCCAGAAAGAAATATGGACAATCAAAGGTTCAAACAAAGCTTTAGCTCTTAGCAAGCTCATCAAATTAATCAGAGAACTTCCTTGATAAATCTCACCTTTCACACATAAAACTTCACTATCAGAATGTGAATGAATATTATGGTGAGATATTTAAAAGAAAAACAAAAAAGTCAACTTGGTAAAAATTACTGGCTATAATATACCCTTATTGCAAATGTAGTTTGATGATTATAAAATTAAACCATTAAAATCCTGGACTTTTGATGCCTATTTTTCAAAGTTTACACAATCACATTCTCTCTGTTAGCAGTAATAATGTTATGGCTGCCACATGAATTTCAGCTATTGACTTTGAAATCTAGGTTAAATATGTATAGGAACTAGTAAAAAATATTCTCAAGAGTTTTGTGGTTTTTTTTTAAGAAAATTCCACAGCCTTGTGCTAAAAGCCAGAGGTTTTTAAGTGAAAGCAAAAAAAGATTAAAATAGATTTTTTTTATGTTGAAGCCTTGTGGTTTATGAAAAGTTAGATTTTACCATCAGTACCTGTAAGTTTAAATTTGAGAACAAATGAGCATGACTTAGCCAACAAATGTGCTAGTGTGAATAGTTTAAATTAATGATTTAGCTTAGCATCTGCATTACCTACTAATAATGAATATTTTCTGACTTTTAGGTTCTTCAAAAACAGCTAGATGATGTCAAAGAAGAAGAGATAACTTTACTAAGCAAACATAAGGAGGTGGAAAGTGAGCTAGCAGCTGCTAGAGAACGGTTACAGCAACAAGCTTCAGATCTTGTCCTTAAAGCTAGTATGTCTGACCATTTGTCTTTGTATGCTACCAGACTAAAACTGATACCTATGTTAACTGAGAATGAAATTAGTCTTTCCTTGTTATATTTAAGTTATACAGAATCTGAGTATTTGAGTGAGTTTTTTTGATCCTGCTGAAGCAATGTGTATCATTTTCAGGTAAACTCTGAATGGTTTTAGGTAATATATACTTTTAAAAACAGTAACTTTTTATTAAAATAATTGAGGAACATAATTCCAGATAATGTAGTTAGTGTGTAAAAACATAGTATAACCTCACACATTATAAGGTTTTTGTACTTTAATGATACTGATTTTAAGGTATTTAAAGTAATGAAAATAATACTAGTATCCGATCCTGTAGATAAATTTTAATGCCTCATTTCAACTGGTTCATCATTGAATTCATAGTTGCATAAAATATAGTGTCCTATGGAGGTTCCCCTCTGCTAGTGATCCACAACATTTATTAGAGAAAGTAAGATATTTTAAGTTGGGAAATCATATGTGGCATTTTTACTTTGTGAAAAAAAAATAGTTCTTTGAGTCATTCGTTTTTAGTATTCATTTTGTTCTAATGTGCTTAAAGAATTTCCAGGTTTCCTTTTCATGGGATCATTGATTTGGAGCAGGAAGGCACCTTAAGCCACATTAGTCAAACCCCTTCATTTTACAAATGAGGCAACTGAGGTCCAGAGAAGTTAAATGACTTGCTGAAGACCACAAAGGTAGTTAGAAGCAGTGTCAGCCTTTAAATTCGGGTCCTCTGATTCCAAGCCTATGTTTTCTGTGCTTTCCTTCTCATTAAATATTGCCTTCCTCATTTCTTTCTCATCTGATATAGAGCAGTATGCTTTTCGTCTGACTTCCTCTGTCCTTTATTCTCTTCCTTTTTCCTTTTTTCTTCTGTTGTTCTACTTCTTATATCCTGATTTCCTGCACTTTTTCCTGGCATCCTTGTCTGTGCCATTCTGCACCAGGTTTTCTTAATCAAGGTCTAAGATCAATACGGCCTGGCAGAGCATAAAGGACACTGGGGCTTGGAGTTGGACCAGCTCTGGATTCAGAGGACTCAGGTTCAATCCCAGCTCTGATCCTGACTTCTAGTGTGACCTTGAGCAAGTCATTGGACTAAATTGGACTAATTTGCATCTAAAGCCACTTCCAGCTGTAAATCTGTGAGCCTGTGAACCTTGGATTTGAATCCTTGCTTTCTTAACTTAGCAGGTATGTGAATGTGGGCAAATCTTGCAATCTGAGCCTGTTTCTTCTTCCATAAAATGGGAGCAATGTAATTCACATTTATATAATGCTCTAGGGTTTAACTGCCTTGTGAGACAGATATTATTACAGGTATTATTAGCCTTAGTTTTTAGATGAGAAAATTGGAATTCACATAGGATCTAAGCAATTTGCCAGGATTAGAACAAGGACTTCAGTGCTGAAGTACTTGGCTTGTAAATATTGGAAGAATTATTGAACCCAGCTTCTCTGACTTTCAAGTCCGTTGCCCTTTCTAAGACACCATACTGCTTCTCCGTACTTGGGAATGTGCTGGTAAATGTTTAACAGCTGGACCCTTCCAGGGAATAAAAAAATGGATGCACATGTTTTTACATTTAATCTGCATTATTAACACGTTCTTAAATCTGGATAGTCAACAAAACATAAATCAAGCTTTGAGCTTTAGCAGTTGCTGATTTCTGAGGTATAAATGCTCACACTAACAATTTAACCATTCTCACAAGCTGGTTAGGGCTGGTTCCAGCATACGCCTGTCTTGGCTCTTCTAAATATTAATTATGACAACTTTTCTTATCCCCGTTTGCTTACAGAGGGCTAACTACACATACATAGGAGGATGCCTGTACTTAGACTTTTTTCTGTATCATGTACAATTTTCAAGTGCAAGAAACAGCTTAAATGATATGAAAATAGGTTTTCCAAGTTGTTACCCTGCTTCTGTAACCAGTAAATATTAAAAGACTGAAAATTTCTACGATAAGAAAAGTAGAAATAACTCCTTATACAGACCTAAAATGTATTCTCTGAGGTTTAATACAATCAGTAATGATGATTATGCCACTCAAAATATATCATTTAACTAAGGTTTTTGGGGGGTTAGGTCATATTGGAATGCTCCAAGCTACTCAAATGTCACAGGAGGCTACAATAAGAGAACTGGAGTTGGAAAAATCATTGGCAAGGGAGAGAGTATCTCAACTTGAAGAAGAAAGAAATTTTTTGCAAAGCAGAACCCAAAGTCTGGATGAACAACAGAAAAAGCAGATTCTGGAACTGGAAATGGTAGGAGGTTGGGGGGGCTTTCTTTTCCAAAGCAAAAAGATTCTGTTTTCTTTATATTCTGAAAATTATAATTTTGGAATTCTTTTGAAAAGATTAAAAGATTGACCTTATTCTACACCTGTGAATACACCTGTGTGAAATCTGTAGTGTATTTGAGTCTAATAGTTTTTATAATTTTATAAAAGTGCAGCATTGTTGGAGACTGTATATATGTAATAAAGGAATAAAAATGCAATCGCATTCTACTTACCTTTTAATCAAAACGTTTCAAAAATAAAGTTTTTTTGTTACTAGGGTTCTGTTTTTGGTGAAAGGTGAGATATTCACACAGTTAATCATATCAAGACGATATGTCAGTCAACTAACATTTTTTTAAATGCCTACCCAGTATGTGCCAGACACTGCTCAAAGAGCTGAGGATATAAAGAAAAGCCAAAAACAGTCCCTGCTCTCAAGTAACTCCCAGTCTAATGGGGGAGATGACACGCAAACCAACAATGTACAAACAAGACATATAGAGAGAATAAATTGAGGGTAATCTTAGGGAGAAGGCACTAAGATTGAGGACCAGGAAGGGCTTCCCGTAGAAAGAAAGGGGGACGTTAACTTGGACTTGAAGCAAGCCAGGGGCCAGAGATGAGGAGGGAGAGGTCTCCAGCTGTGGGGCTCAGCCATCAAGAACTTTTGGAGTCAGGACATTAAGTGCTGTATGTGAGGAACAGCAAAGGAGACCAGTGTCACTGGATCACAGAGTATCTGGAAGGGGAGTAAGGTATGCTTATGCATAAAATGGTACTAAAAGTTATGTGACTGAAAGATATAGGGACTAGACCTGTAATTTCATTGATAACAGGGAACTTCCAGATAAGGGAACTTCCTTTACCAATGTAGGCTAGCACCTTGACTTAGCATAAAAGACTATTTTCAGTAGTGTTGATAAGAACTGGTCATTTATGGCCTAGACTCTTAATTTAAAAGAAGCTTTTTACATTTAGTCTAAAAGAGTTACTAACCTGTGTGTAACTCCAATGTGCCAGTTCTTTTCCCTTTCCTTACTCTGAAATTGTGAATCTTGTGTGTGGCATGTTATTATTTATATTTTAAGACAGTAGATGATAAAGTGTTGGAACAACCTCATTACTGTTCACTACTTGCTACACTGCTCTGCATACCATGGTAGTCAAACATTGATGGTAATGATGAAAAACCAGTTAATAAATAGTGAATTTTCATTTTAAATATTTTTAATTGTAGCAAATAAGTGAAGCAAAGAAAACTCAAAAAGAATATTATGAGAGAGAACTACTAAACCTGCAGACCAGATTGGAAGGGGAAACAGCACAGTTAAATGAAGCTCACTCAAAGACTTTGGAAGAATTAGCTTGGAAGCACCATGTTGCAATTGAGACCGCCCACAGTAATGCAAATAAGGATAAGAAAAAGCTACAGATGGTAAGGTTTTTTTTAAATTTATCTAGCTTTATATTCTAATATTGCTAGTTTTGAAAATGGGTGGGGTTGAGGAATTGGGGGAAGTAGTTGCGCTTTAAAGGGGAAAAAAAGCCTATCCTTATATAGCTAAAATGAATACTTTTTATTCATAGGAGAGATCTTCAGTGCCTTCACTAAGGAACTAATTACTCTTAATTTTATACACAGTTTTAACAGGTTTGCATACATGTTTACCAGGTTTACAATAAATTACAAGAAATATATTAGAAAGGAGGATGAGAGTGAAAGAAGACATCTAGCAGGCACCTAGATGTCAGTAAGAAATGAAAGCTGTCAGAAAATAAATGCAAAAGTTATAAAGAAGAGATAAGAACTCAAAAAGCTTAACAAACAAGAGCTATTTGTATATGGAAAACATCCTGTGCCTCTCAAAAGGTCATGGGTTCTATATTACAGGACAGAATATTATGAAGTTCATAATGATGACTGAATTTTAAAAATCTCAAATTGCGTTCAGTGTCTCTTATATAAGAAAGCAGTCAAGTATTTAATATATTTAGCAAAGATATTTATATTTGATTCTGAAAGTATAATGAGCCAGTAGAGTTCATTGAATTAGGGCAAGGAGCGATGGTGGTAAGTAAGGTGACATAGTCCTATACTTTGGAGAAATTACTTTGGCAGCTATATAGAGGATGGATCAGGGCAGGACTTGTGGTAAGATCAATAAGAAGACAGTTAAAAATAAAAAGTCTTAATCTTGTGGAATTCCTCTGGCTTTTGTTGGCTATCCTAGCTGAATGTGGTGGTTTATAGCCTTCAATGCAACAAGCATTTATAAAGCACAGACTGTCTATATACAAGGCCCTCCACTGAGTGCTAAGGGATACACAGGCAAAAATGGAAGTCTTTGACATCAAGGAATTGACATTCTGCTGGTGAGAAACAAATGTAAAATATATACAAAATAAAATCTTTGTAGAGAGACCTAACAACTTGTCGAGAGAGGATATTAGGAAAGGTCTTGTGCAAAATGTAACTCCTAAGTTAATATGTTGAGAGAGGGATTCTAAGAGAAGGAAGGAAGGGAGGTAGGGAGAGTAACCCCAGCTATTAATGTCCCCTGGCTACATATATTCCTGTGTGAGTACTCTGGTCACATGTCTTCCTAGTGTGTGCCCTCTACATATGTGCCCTGGCCATGGGGGCTCCTGACATGCATGCTCTTCATTCTTATACCCAGGCTACATAGATGTGTCCCTATGAATGCCCTCTGTACATATTCCCCAGGCGTATGTATTTCTGCATATACTCTTCCCCACTGGTGATATGGTAACCAGTGGCAGAGTGTATTCGATGCTTGTATGTGGTGGGGAAGAAACAATTTGTTTTACTTGTCACTTTATTTGTTAGGCTATTTGATTAAATATCGTTTGGCCTAACACATGATTTGGCTGCATGGTATACATAAACACATTAGCTTGAACCTGAGAATAGCATTCCAGGATAAGGGGGTACACAAAGTGCCACACGTACAAAATGTTTTAATTTTTTAAAAGGAGCAGACAAGCATTTTAATGAGAAACATGAAGGGCAGATGACTTAAGGTAGGCTGCCAAGAAGCTTTCAAACCTTTATGAAAAATTTGAGCTTAACTGTGGTTTTTTAAAAGTGAAATTATATCATTTAAATATTGGAATTTTAACACATGAAATGACAAGCTTGGAAGCAGGAGACCTCCAGATCAAAATAGGCAATAAGAAATGTACAAGGCAAGAAGAGGATGTGGCAGTGAACACTGATAGGATTAGGTGATATGGTGTGAGGTAGCCTAGGGTTGTCTGAAACAAGGCAGTGGAGCACAAGCTCTGGTAGGTTTAAATTGGGAAGGCTTTGAGTATTGATTCAGGGATGGGCTAACTTTATATCACTTTACTGAGGACCGGTGTCACTTATTTGTGAGAAACATCACCAGGTTAGTGAAGGTTGATGAATTTTTTTTAACCACAGCTATCAATTAAAGAGGAACCACAGTCTGCATCTTTGAACCGAGTATTCACACTAATGAAATTACAACTCCTTCCTTGTGGTATCAAAGTGTTGTTATTATAATTCTAGATTGAAATAGTGTATTCCAACAGGGTTTGGGGTTTTTTGTTTTGTTTGCATTTTCTGTTCAATTCATGTAAGTCTCAGTTTTATTTTGTTTTGTTTATTCTTGTTGGTATTAGTCATGCTAATTAATTAACTAAGGAAGGAAAAAAAAATCCTAAGAAATGATTTCTCTGGGGCTGAATAATACAGGCAGCATTATCTACTAAAATGTGAGTTCTTCAATGTATAGAAAAATAGAAAGAAGGTATTAAGGTGAAAGCACTCTAGAAATGTTCCTGAAGAAGGTATCTACTCCCATGTGATGAGGTGGCTTAGGAAAAGATATCATCTGCCTTTAATTGACAACAGGCTGATATGTTTTATATAATTTCATATAATTAAATTCACATACAAGAAAGATGTATGTGTGACTTAACTATTTTAAAGTCCATTATGAAGAGTCAAGTATAAGGAGAACTAGGGGGTTGTGGTATTTCTGCAGGTGGAGGTTGGGGGCATGGAGGTGGAGGTCATAGTTATATGTTACAGAGAGGTGAGGAAGTGGACTTTAAAAAGGTATTTGGATTTCATTATCAGGTAATTGGTGACCTTTGAGAGAGCAATTTCGTAGACTGTTGGAGGTGGTAGCCATATGCCAAATAATGAACAAACAATGGGTAGTAAGGAAATGGAAGAATTAGGTTTAGCAGTTTTTTCAAGATATTTGACAGCAGAGAGGAAAAAAGAGCACGAGAGCTATGTGGGATAGAAGTTTCAAGGAAAGGTATTTTTTGTTTTTAATGTTTACAGAGATCCTGTAGGCAGATGGGAAAGAACCCAGGAAAAGGAATCACTAAGATATATGACCTCTGAACTAGGGTATTAGATGGGAGTAAGAACACGCTAGAAATTTAAAATAATATCAGAATGTAAAACAAGGTAAAATGTGTCTTTATTACCTGCTCCCCAATAACTTGCTTTAACTGTAATTTTCCTATTTTTTTCCTAAGGAACTGGAAGAACAACATGAAAAAGAAAAACTACAGTTGGAAGAAGATAAAAGTCAGCTTAAACAGCAGATGGAAAGACTAAAGGAAGAACTGACAGCCAAACTAAATATAGCTAATCAGGAGGTAAGGATCTTCTAAGTCACATCAGCTTTGTGTTATATGTTAAGCCTTAGTTAATCCAGTAATAATTTCTTGAGAAGGTAGCATCTTGAGACACTCAACTACTCAGTGCCCCAGGCAACTCACTAAGACTGTTGCAGATGTTAGGGATCTGTATCACTGGAGGGACTTCGTACATTAAGAGTTTTTTATCCTCACAAATCAGAGATCCAAACCCCTCCCATCCTTCAATCCCTGAGAAAAAGAGAGATTTCTTATTCTAGTGGCACTGTATGACAATATAAAATGATGCCATTTTAGAGGGAAACTCAGTCAATTTGCACTGTCTTTTATTCTTAGCTCTCTCATTGTGAAATTACTTTCAAATATTCCCTGAAAGCATTGGTCCAAATTGCTGCAGCTAACAAACAGGCAAACAAAACGCTAGAAATAATTAGGCGGTACTGGAAGAAAAATAGAAAATTTTATCCTAGTCCTACACAAAAATTATAAATAACCAATGTATCTACACTTATAATGCTGCCTATTTTTTGATTGCTATGTCTTAAAGAAAAATATAAATGAAAATGCTGATAAAATAATGGATTTTTAAAATCAGTGGCAATGAGAAGGCTCAGCGGGTTATATCAAAATCTGTATGATCATGGCAGGTATGGATAGGGCGAACATGAACTTTTTCACCAAATCACAGACTACTGCTTATCTAAAAATCCCAAAAGAGGCAGTTTTCAGGAAAAAAAAATTTAAGAGATAACACTGGCTTACCAGCAGATACCATGGAATTTCTTATCCTAAAAGGTGTTTATAGGGGCTGTAAACAAAACTAAAATCTAGAAAGATTAGACTAGTTTCATGAATAGTAGAACCATAATGACTTAATGTAGATTAAGTTAATATTCTAGGATAGATTTGAAGCTCTCTGTGGATTAAAATAATGGACTAAAATAAAATAACTACAATCAGTGTCCTGCCATAAAACATTACATGTTATCACTATTAGAGACAGAATGTGAGGCTGCATGGACTGTGGTTCTGAACCATTATTAACACCTTTTGTAACATTTAGAGTGTCTCTTCACATTCTATCCACTTGGAGATAGGCTATCACCTGTCACTTCTGCATGTCATGACACACACAAAACCACATTCTAGTTAAAAGGCAGATTTTGTTTCTAATACAAGAAAACATGTGCTCCACCTTGTTTGGTTTGTTCCTTTGTTAACTTCTACCTCCCAAGGATGGACCTTCTTGGATCTTTTAGTTTCAGAGCCCTTGCTCTTAAGGGCCTTATCTGGCATCTCGGGGAAAAAAAAGTGTTCAGGGACCTCAGAGTGCCAGAGCCTGGAATGTCCTGGTGTGAGTACTGTGGTAGCATGCTAGTCACTGCTCACTGCAGCTATCTGGAGCTTTCTGATCTCTTTAGGGCTTTGTGAGGGGAGCTTACTGCTCTTGCTGCCTCTAGGCATTGAGCTTTGGAGGCTATATGGCCTGTCTCTGATCACACCAGGAAGGAGCTGGCTCTGGCAAAGTTCCCTTTTCTCTTGTGCATGGACTTCTGGTTTGACTTTTTTCTGCAGTTCTGATGTGGAAGATGCCACTTATTATAGTTTCTCATTAGATTTATTCATCATTCTGTGTGGTATGGACCTACAGGTTTTATTTTTCTAGATATATGGAAACTAAGTGATCTGCCTTCATTCAGGCAGCTGTCTTAGCTGGGAAGAGTTGATTATTTTTTCCATAATGTTGCTTACATTTTTCCCGTTCCTGCAGTAGTTACCACCCTAGTTTGTGTCTAAAGATATACATGCATCCTAACTATTCTCCTTGCCTTCCAGTATCTTTTTACTTCAGTCTATTTCCACACTGCTGCCAGATTAATTTTGTATAAACATGGTTTCTACTCTCTCATAACTCAGTGAAAAATTTCACTATTTTCCCTGTTAATTTACAGGATAAAGTTCAAACTCCATACCTATGCCTTCAAGGTTCTCAGTCTGACTCAAACTTTATATCCTGCTACTTCCTTAAGTACCAGACAGTCTGGCCTATTCCTATGCCCAAAATACACAGTGTATGTTCTTACTTTTGCTTGTGCCATTCTCTCTTCTTAAAATGATCTTTTCCTTGTTTTCACATGTTTGCCTGTTCATATCCTGTGCATTATTCAAGGCCTACATTACTCCACTGCAACACATAGCAATCTTTCTATCCTTTAAATTTCTTTGGCACTTTTTATTTGTATCAACTAACTGGCACTTATATGCTGCTAAGTTTTGTATTGTTGTTTATCTTTTTACTGTTTCCCTCCCTAAGTAAGACCTTTGAAGAGTTTATAAAAATGTCTTTGTATTCTCTACAGCGCCTAGCACAGTGCTACAAATATAATAGACCATCAGTACATATTTAATGAATGAGCAGACATTTTTTTATCCCTCCACTTTATTAAACTAAAACAGATTTTTGCCTCTAACTCTCCCCTGCACCAAATCTGGAAGTCTTGAAACTGATATATGATACAAAGACTAGTTCCTTCAAAAACTAGGTCAAAACTAATAATTCCATGAAATTAATTTTGTTTGGTAGGAAATCTCCTTAATGGAGGAATAGTTATTTATGCTTTATTTTCAAAAGTGTATAAATTCAAGATGTAAGGATTATGTAGGGCAAGTGTTATGCAAATACGTAGAAGTTACTACTCATTGTAGTTTGTAACACCTTTGTCCATTTGGCTTCACTGTCCTAAATATATAAAACTTTTGGAGTAACAGGGTTAATTTGACTCACGTGTGAGGTAAGTAATTTCATTTGAATTACTTTTTTCATTTGAATATACGTATTCTGATATGGAAAATATTTGTCAGCTGTTCTTGACTTCATCTTAATTATGCTCTGTTAATCTCCTTAAAGTAGGACCTGTGTCTTTGTGAAACAAACTGGACCTCTTGGGATATTGCATTCAATATCTCATAGTGCTATGAGGATAAAATAATGAATATGGAAGTGTTCCTTGAAACTGAAATATTATACATGTGTAAGATTATTATATGAGTGTTTCCTCAATATGTATTATTGAAAGAAGTAGTTAAAGGAAGAAGATGGTCATTTTTTTGATTGTTAAAAATAAAGATGTCCTAAAAGCATAATGTTTTTATGCAGGTTTCTCGCCTCCAGGATCTGGTAAATAAAAGTGAACAAGGCCTTGGTTCTGCAGAAGGGGTTATCTCTGATCTTCAGGACTCCCGTGGACAACTTCAGAATGAACTAGATTTAACCAAAGTTAAGCTAAGAGAGACCACAGACTCATTATTGAATCTTGAGGTAATTTCATAATCCAACCATGGTTCAAGTTCGGTGATAGAGAAATACAGTTCAAGCCACTCTGACACAACTATCTGTGTGACCATGGGCAAGTCACTTAACTTCTTTGACATTATAAATTTCCAACAAGATGAACTGCTGATCCCCACACTAATTAAATCACAGGTCTGCAACAAAAAGACCCCACACTTCTGATTTTAAGCCTCATTTAAACAATCAGTTCATTAAACATCAGTACCATGGTCCACCGTGATGCCTTGCACGTTGTAGGAATTTTAATAATTTTTTAAAATTAAATTGAATGCAGCTTTTTAGAAAAATATAGAGCCCTCAATTCTCTATCAAAAGGACATTTAAAAGGTTTATTTAAGGAAAAATAGATAATTCTTCTTTTCCATAGGTCCCCTTTCCTCCCTTTCTCACCCGTACTTTATCCCTCCTGACCCAGGTGGCCCTATTTCTGGTAGCAGAAATAAAACAAAGGTTTAAATTTGTTCCATACTTTTTTCTGTTTTTAGGCTATGAAGATAATCAATTAGGTTGACAACAGAGATTGTGGGCTGGGGAAAAAGGGGATAGTGGAGACTCAAAGTTAAAGATGCTTGTTCATGACCTTTTTCTTTAAAACAAATAATTGGTGACACCTCTAAATCACATAAAGAAGAGAATTTACATGATATTAGCACTGTGTTAAAGCCATTATAAAATAATTTAGAATGAGATAGTAATTTCGTTATAGTTATGAATCCTTGAACAAATCACTTAGCCCTGGGAAGCTATGTTTTTATTACTCTGTATAGTGAGCAAATTGGACCAGATGATCTATATAATCTCTTCTAGCTTTTAATTTTGTAGAATAGATGTCCTGCCCCCAATTCTGGCTTTTGTTTGTATGGTGTGAAAGTGTTTACTGAATTTTCCTTTTCCAAACAATTGAAGTTGGAACAAAAGCACCTTTTTGCAAGGTACTCTGCTAGGTACTTAGGAGAGATACATCTCCCTTATAACTCTCAAGAGACAATGAGACATTGAGTGAGATAAATTTCATTTTCTAGATATACTTTGAAAAGTTGACAAGCTGTAGCTTGTAAGTACGGGAACCAAGTCTGGTAATAATGATACCTGTGAAATCATCTACTGCCTCCTGCCTCAGAATCCTGTAGAAGCTGTCATCAAGGTTTTTAGCAGCTCACTAGCTAGCTTTTGAATTATCAATAAATATTTGATACTGCTAGGGATTTTTTTTATTTGACATTTTTAAAGGATCTTTCAGGTTTACAAACCACTTTTCATATGTTATTTCATCTGATCCCAACAACAGTTCTTTGACATATGTACTGTAGATAATATTATTGTCATTTTAGAGATGAAGACAAGGCTCAGAATAGTTAAATGACTTGCCACCAGAGTCATACAGCTAGGAAGTATCGGACATGGAATTTGAAATCAGGTCTCTACTGACTCTAACCTAATGTTTTTGTCACTGTTCAGTACTGTATCACTCCTCTACCTCTAGTGTTGTAAAGAACCGTAGTTGATTGATACTAGTCTACAAATATCTGTCTCAGTTGGTCATGTTGAAAAATAGTACCTCACTATATTATAATACCAAATGTGGCAAATAGTTTATCATTTATTTAAAAAAAAGTTTGGTTAGTTGCTTTGAGCCTTGATAATTGTCCTGATTATTTGTCATTAGGTTATAATATCACAGTATTTCTGTCTTGATTAAGATCTGAGAATCTGGAAGATAACACTAGTAACCTTTTTTTTGAAATAATTTACTTTTGATTGAAGAATACTGTGTTAACGTATTTGAAGAGAATGTTGTAATAGGTTTATTGAATAATCCATGATGGAAAAAAGTTTGAAATTAGTATTGTCATTTAGGATTTGACTAATTATGTTGGCTTAAAAATGCTTCAGTATTAGAGTAGCTCTGTGATATAATCAGTGTGTGTACCTCCCTCTCCTATGGTCATAATCATAAATCAGATATACTTTCTCTACCTGTTGCCTCATCTGTATTCCACTGTAAATCCAAAAATGAGTCTACCCAAAAGACAACTTCTCCTAGATTCTTTAAATTATGTAGGTACTAGGGAGCATCTAGGTGGCACAGTGGATAGAGCACCAGCCCTGAAGTCAGGAGGACCTGAGTTCAAATGCGGCCTCAGACCAAGCACTTGACATTTACTAGCTGTGTGACCCTGGGCAAGTCACTTAACCCCAATTGCCTTGAAAAAAAAAATTATGTGGGTACCAGTGCAACATATGGGCTGACCATCTGTTATCCTTTACCTTGCTATATGGCCATCCACCTCCTTTTTTGATCATAAATTTCCTGATTAGTTTCATTTATGCCACTTCTTACACAAATTATTATTGTCAGTATGGTATGTTCTTGTCATGCAGACAATTCAGTCTCGTTGTTTTTTGGGTTATGTGCAGTTTTTATTGTTTGATAATTGTGATGCACCATAATTTCACTCCATAAAGATGAGATTTTATTTTAAGGAGCATCTTGGAATCATTAAAATCTCATTATATTTAGTTTAAAATTATACTGTTAGTATAGTTTTGGGAAAGTTTTTAAATTTGGGTTGTTGTTATAAAATCTTGAAAACCTGTGAAGTTGCTAGAAATTTTAAGCACTGCTCATTTTACATAAAGTAATTATTTGAAGTGAAGATTTAAAATAACCAGCTTTTACTTTTTGATGCACACTTTGCATTATAAAGATTTTGTTTTTCAGAGAGAACTACAACAAGAAAGACAACAGCATAAGGCATTGCTTGCTACCATGAGGGAAGATGAGAAGTACAAAGTGGACAAAATGGCCCAAGACTTAGAAATAAAATGGACTGAAAATCTTAGGTGCTTTTCTTTAACCTTTAAAACAATTTTTAACATAAAAATTATTAAGAAATGGTAAAAAAAATTTCACATACAATTTGCTTCTTAATTTTTAATTATTTAGAAACTTTTGTCAAACATTGAATCTGTAAAGGCAAAGGCGTGAATAAATAGGGTAGGTGCTACAAGATATACAATTCCTACAGAGTACTATAATACATTATATTGTTTCAGATACAGACTTGCGTTTTTCTCCCAAATTTGTCTTATGTTATAAAACCTGAGTGTGGATGTCAGTAAAGACAAGATATTAGTGAAAATCGGAAAAAAAAATGACAGAGGTAGAAAACAGTGATCAAAAGGAATAAAACATGTTTATTAGAATCAAAATGTTAAAAATCACAATAAATATTTTTGTATTGTGATTTTCTGTTATTTTTCAGTATATATATGGTTTTTTTCCTTGTGCAGATTTCATTTAATTGGTAGGGACCTATATTTAAGGTGGCCTGTATAGACCAATATAGTAAGTCACAGCTTTTGTCGTTAAGTTTTTCCCTTGGAATCTTGTCTTGCTAATTTGTAAATAATTTCTTTAGGGCTATGCTCATTGATAATTATAATAGCCTGGGTATTAATAGATGCCTCTCTGTACAATTCTTTAGAAGAGAGGACATATAGATCTCAGAGCAGAGGGTGCACAGCTATTAGGAAATGTCTTCCTTTATTCATTGATTGTCTTCCAGTTAGTGATTTCTGATGAGATGTTCATGCTAATGTATAACACAGTAAACTCTGCCAGTCATAACTTTTGCCAGCAGCCATTAGATTGACCTGCCCTGCCACCTTTATCTTTCCCTCTCTGCCAGTTTGAGGAGGTGATGTCCGTGCTTTCTCCACATTCTCTTTCCTTGCACCAGTGGTCTTGAAGCCCTATCTTACCACTTCTTCCTTAATACTTTCTTGAACTTAGTTCATCTTTTTCTTATTTTACCACAACTGCGTTCTACTGCCATTATCTTATATAACTTCTTTTGCTGGTAAATCAATTTAGGTCAACTGACTGACAGACCTTTGTGCTCACTATTATCACATTAGGTTTATGACGTATTTCAGTAAGTTGGACAACAGCAGCATGGTAATTGTGAGAATAAAAATGCTGAGGCTAAAGGTCTGAAGTCTATTTTCTGCACATCTACAGATTCATTTTGTGACTTTGAACAAGTTTTTCTGATTGTTTTCTTTTTTTAAATAGGCATATTGATAATTGCGTATTTGACAGTAGTAATTCCATTTGCCAAGTACTTTGTATTCATCTATTCAGTTGCTAAATAGTTTGTCTTATTTTTAGACAAGAGTGTTCTAAGCTTCGAGAAGAGTTAAGACTTCAACATGAAGAGGATAAAAAGTCAGCAATGACTCAACTTTTGCAGCTAAAAGAACGGGAAAAGAATGCTGCCCGGGATGGATGGCAGAAGAAGGTAGAAGATCTCTTAGACCAGGTAATTAATGTTGATAATTAACAATAATGAGGAATGCTGAACATGGATTTATATTGCTAAAAGTTAATTTCTGGTTCTTTCCTTTTCTTTTTGAGATTCTCCGTAAGATGGACTTATGTTTATGTACACCTATTTATGCATATACCTTGCATAGGAATATGCCTATCCAGCTTGCTGCATTCACTTTAGCCTGGGTGGCTCTAGGAGCGTCCCTTTTCTTTTCCAGGTGTTACCATTTTCATGTACTCCATCTATTTTTACTCCTTTTCCCTCTGACCCTAGAAACTGCAGGTCTTACTACTGCCAGGAATCTTCAACCCTCTTTCTTATTCACCCTAGTAATGCCTCAAGTATGAGGCAGAACTGATAGTGGCCAGTGGAAAAGTAAAGGAAAAGGAAGAGCAAAGCTCCACATTCTCCCCATTCCTCAGCCTCCATTTGCTGGTCTCTCCTAGCTCCTCTAAGGAAGTGCCCTGGAAATTCAGTGTCTGGGTGTTCATCTGAAATGTTGTTGAATTTTATTTTAGTCCAGTTCAGACCTTTTTAGATCAAGTTCCCCTTTGGCAAGCTGGTGAAGTTTATGGACCTTTCTTAAAATGGTGTTTTTTAAATGCATACGATAAAATACATAGATTTAAAAAGGAAATCAATTACAATGAAATACTTGCGTCAAAATATTTTTTAAAAAAACATGTTCTTGCCTCACACATAACACTTACTAGCTGTGTGACCCTGGGCAAGTCACTTAACCCCATTGCCTAGCCAAAAAAAAAAAGTATTCTCAGACCTCTGCTTTAGTTCTTTGTGTACCCAAAGATTCATCACCTGTATGTGTTTTTTTCTCTTACAGTTCTCAGTGAAAAAAGAAAAAGGGAGATTTATAGGAGCTTTTTTTGTACCCCACCAGTTTCCCATTGTTGTTAGCGATCACTGGGGGGGGAAACTCCCCACTCTGCAGAGTACTGTATGCTTGCTTTGGGGATGGGCAGACCAATCTTAGAATTCCTCAGAGCAAGAGAAAAGAAGGGGGACAAGAAGATAGCCTAGACTAAGAAGTATCCAGGGGGATGGCAGTGGGGAATGTGGTGGGGGTTAGTAACTGCTGGCAAGGCTTAGCACATTTTCCCACAGAAACATTGTAATGGTTAGTAAAATTCTAAAGTACTATAAATATGGTGCTGTTTCAAGAACATTTTGTAAAGCTACTGAAGTAAATCTACTCCTGAAGAACTTAATACTTTGTGTGTGTGTGTGTGTGTGTGTGTGTGTGAGGCAGTGGGGTTAAGTGACTTGCCCAGGGTCACACAGCTGGTTAAATGTGAAGTGTCTGAGGCTGAATTTGAACTCAGGTCCTCCTGACGCGAAGGCTGGAGCTCTATCCACTGTGCCACCTACCTGCCCCATTTAATACCCTTCTTTGATACAATACTTGCGGTTTTAAACAAATGATTTATTAGTCAGCCTTTAAAATGTAACCATTTGGTAAGTTGGGGGACTAACTACCTAGATAGATAGATAGATAGATAGAGATCAGTTTCTTGTTTATTACATATTTACTATCTAATAGAGCACACTTAAAAGTAAAATATATTAAAGTTAGAGACATGGCTTTAGAACTTTAAAATATGTAGGAATGTAGTTCAATAAGTAAATAAACTTAGAGAATGGGATAGGATCTCTTTTGTTAATTTAAAAAGAACAAAAATTTTGAAGTTATAACAAGGTTTTAAGGTCATTAGATGCCATTCATACACTTAAAGAGAAAGTTTACTAAATACACCTAAATGAGTTAAAACAGCTTCCTCCCAAAAAAGACCAATTTTTTTTTTCATCAATAGCATCTTGCCCAATTTGTTTCTGTGTTTTCAACCTCTGGGATAAAAGTGCTGTAGAAGCAAAAGATAGAAGTATTCTTCTTAAATCTTTCTTGTTTCATGTTCACTTCAGCATTTAAAACTATAATTAAAAGTTTGCACTTTTCAAATAATTTGCGCAACTTCTTAATTTATGGTCTGCTGTTGTTATATTGCAAAGCCAGTAATTAAATAGTACTGACTGCCCTGGCTCATTAGTTGATTGGCAAGCCATGTATGTAGGAACATTGTTCTATAAACTTTAGCGCTAGGACCAAATAGCACCTTAACTTCTTTAAGGAGCTACCTTTTGTTTTTATATTTGTTCTAGCAAATTTCTGAATTCATAAGATAAGCTTTCCTACTAGTGATTTCAAAGAATTACATGGAATACTTTTCAGAAGAGTTTAAAGTCTATTTGTGAAGTTTCGGTGTTTGCGTAGTTACCCAAATTTATGCATATTTTATATGGAAAATTGGAAGGATGCTAAATAATGTTTGCTTTTGGATTTTTTGTAAGATTTGGGGCTTTGGAAACTTAAGAATAAAGAAACAATTATATTAGATGTTCCATTTAAAGTTGATCCTAATGCAATTTGGCATATTATCAGTACTCTCATGTAAAGTACTTACAGTGGACATATGAAGACAAACTTAGTCACAGGAGTCATTCTGTTATCTTGCCCTCTGTCATTCATTGTGGAGGATTCACTAGTTCAAATTAGCTTGTGAAACTTGAAGTCATCTTTGGAATTTTAAATGTCATTTTAAATTGTCATTTAGTTACTAACTAATGAACGAAAAGGTCTTACTACTGTCGCATCCATTTTCTTCAGATTGTGGTTTTTATTTTAGTAGGTTTAGGTCCTCTCTATATTAAGGTATCAGATTTCTTTCTTACCTCTAACAATTTTTCTTTCTCAGTTTGTTTTGAATATTCTTATTCATGAAAAAATTTAACTTTTCATACTTTATGATTCTATACAAGGTAAACAAGTTTTCTAATGTCTCCATCATCTCTGATATGTCATAGAACAAATACCCCATGATAGGAATAGGCCAGCACCACCTTGATACATGGAGTTCCAGAAGTCTGACCTATTTTACTCATTTTGTGAGATAAGCCTGTTGCATTCTAATCTGCCATATCTAGGGTTATTCCTCATTCTTTGGTTCATATAGCCCCTATACCAGTGGCTTATTAACATTCACTTAGACCTCAAGTTAATCTGTATACAGTTAAACAGTTCAATTGGATTATAAGATCATAGACTTAAAACTGGAACAGGCCTAAGAAGTCTTGTAGTCCACTCTCCTTATTTTATCGATGGGGATATTAGTAAAGTCATATTATAACCAAGAAGCATTAGACACATGTATCATAGAATGAAATATTTGAATTACTTCCTAGATCTAGTTTCCCAAAGGAAACACTTCCTCCCTCTTTCAGGTTTGGAGTCTTTTTCTGTCAGCTTTGGTCTCTCCTAGCTCAGTGACTGTGGAATGAAACAGGTTTGGTGTTTGAGCTAGCAAGAAGATAGAAGAAGTTTGTTTGGATTAGGGAACGGGGGCACAGAGCAAGTGCAGTGGCCTAGGTTTGGCATCAGTGAAGGGGATTTCTAGTGAATTAGCCCTCTGCCAAAGCAAGTGGCAACAGTTCTGTAACCTAAAGTCTACTGAGAGATGAAGAGGCTTGCCCAGGGTCTTATGGCTTCTCTGTGTGTTAGAGTTGGGAAGTGGGCCCAGGTTTGCCTGACTCAAAGGCCAATTCTTCATCCACACTGTACACTATCATAGGGTGCCTCTGTAGAAGGATTGCTAAATTGGAAGTTCTTTATGTACATAGGAACCTTCCCTATCTGACCAGGTCTCTAGGTTAACATAACCATTTGGAACCAGGTGTACCCTATGCTATTGATCCCCACTTTTGCCTACGTCTGATTGCATATATCAACTCCTAGCCCTGTTCTAGAACATTTACTGGCCCAACATAGTGTGGTGCACATCCTAGGCACTTAAATATTTTACTGAAAGGAATTGGCCTTACCTACCATTGGTGTCTGGAGCTCAGTAAACATACATCAGGGCTGTCATAGAATATGTTTGGAGCCCAAGGTAGAACCTGACAGCATTGAACAGAAATGTACAGAGAGCAGGTGGATTAGAAAATGCCACGTATTCCAAGTTTGGGTATTGTTTGTGGTCCAAGTGATGCAAATATGTGAGATCCTACTGTGCTTTCACATTTTTATCCCTCTGGTCCTTTGTATATTGCACACAAGAAATTACATCCTTTGTTTTACCTATAAATTTAAACTCTGTGAAAGTTTTTTGGACCAACCTAGATTATTTTGCTATCTAAAAAGAGTCAGAGGAAAATCACAGGTAATTCATTGTCTTGAAATCATCTGTTTACACTTCATTAAATCTTTCATAAGCTTTTATTTCCACCCAGTGTTTTGAGTTTTTTATTTTATTTTTCTCTTAACATTTCATTGTGTTTTTTCTACCTAGTAATTGAACTAATGAGGCTCACTACATTTTTGCATTTAGATTCACTTACATAACTATAAGGTTGGAGAATATATTCTTTTGCATTTCCATCTGTTACAGATTCTTCTATAGTAGAATATTTTCTGATATGGATTATAAAATATCAGTGCCTGTGATTATTATGTTGTGTAAGGGAGGTGGCAGACATTTCTATGTCAACTTGCATATATTTTTTCACTGATTTGATTTGGTCTGTGTTCATTCATTCATTCAACCAAAGCTATAAAGGCATTCATTCAGCCAAAAATATAAATTTCATGTAATGCGGCCTGTATATTCATCCTTCAGGACACGCTAAAGAAAACTGTGTTACAGTTTGGGTGAAACAGAAGGCATGAGGGAACAAAGTGAATTTTGAATCAGATTCTGGAGGAAATTAGGATCATTGATTAGTGGAGGCAACATTATAGATCAGTGGTTTATACCTATATGCTAAAAAACCTGGGTAGGCTGCAGAGTTTTTGCCTTTCAAGGAATACTGCCTCACAAAATATGTATTACTATTTTTCAAATGTATTTAGACGTTATATTTAATAAAATATGAATTTATCTTAAAACGATGAATTCATAGTAGCTAACTGTCATTATTTTTGC